CAGGTAGTCCGAGCTATCAAGCTGCTGAGTAATTTGAAGGGGGGGGGGATATGGTTGGTGGTATATATAGATTTAAATCTTTGTGGCAGTCAGCAACTGCGACCCGCGAATTTGCAAAGGCGCTCTCTTTCTGGGGTGGGGAGGACAGCCGGATTACTACAATGCAGTCCTTGGTTTCTTACCTTTGGAAATCTCGCCTCTAACAGAGGTGCCTCCTTATTCCAGATACCACCACTGGCTCCTAGCTCTTTTTAGGGTGGAAATCATACTGTGGCTGAAAGGATGAAAAATCGCAAAGAAAGGCTGCTTGCTTGGGTCAAAGGATGTCTGCTGGGTTTGTTTAAGGCATGGAACATTTATTTATTTTTTCATCTTCCTTTTCTCTAGCCAAGAAAAATGAGGGAGGTGTGAAGGGCTGGGCAAGGCATTTCCCACCCTAGTGTAAAGTGACAGCATCTCAGTGGAGACATCTGCAGGGATCTTTTAAGGAAGGGGGGAAAAGCCAAACGACCCTCCTCAATGAGTGCCGAGCTGTCCAAAGGGCCCAGCCTCTCCCTGCCCCCCTGCCTTTTGAACAGGACATCTGGCCCTGCCAATGCCAGCACCACCTGCATCACACAGATGGGGCAGTTCTTCCAGTCCTTCTCGTCCACTTTTGTCTTAATCGTCTTGGTCGCCCTCATCTTCTGCCTGATTCTCCTTTCCCTGATCACTTTCCACGTTCACAAGAGGAAGATGAAGAAGCGGAAAATGCAGAAGGCACAAGAAGAGTACGAGCGGGACCACTGCAGCAGCGCCAGCACCAGCACCCAGGCAGGCGATCCGTATGAAATACCCCAAGGAAAAGAATCATCCAGTCCAGAGAAAATCGCCCAGGATTCTGGTATCCCCGCTACTTCTGCCCCAGAACCACAGAATCCCCGTCCAGAAAGATCGTGCTTGGACACAGATATTCCTGGGCTCTTGCAAACAGTGGTATTGTCTTGATTTTGTTGACTTCTTTTTGTGGGGACCTCACCAAAAGACATTGTTTTTGGTGTTTGTATATATTTCAGTGGCTGTTATTATAATCTTGAAGATAATGATTATTATTGCTAATATATATGAAAGAACTAACCGACCCATCAGTATTCAAACGCATGTCAAATTAAATTGCGTTCTTCATTTACTTTTTGTTGTTGTTGCAAACGGAAGGATGCGTCTTTTTTTTTCTTTCCCCCAAGCAGAGAAGACAAGGAAAAACTGCTCAGTGCTACCAAATATAAAACAATCTTCCCTGAAGTAAATGGTTCAGGCAGTACTGTTGGAATGTACATACATGAACGATTCAGATTATATATTACAGCGAATCTACATTTCATTCTTTTGGGGTGGGTGGGTGGGTTATACTAACATATAACGGTATTTAAAGGACTGTGTTTAGGTCTACTGACAATAATGAAAAACTGAGGGAGAGTTTCACGCAGGAAGTTTTATACAAAGGGAGAGGCTACTTCGAAGTGTGCATTTGGAGTCCTGTCGTGGGACACAGGAATGGGGGACTAGTGGTTAGTCCAATTTGAAACAACCAAGAACGCACTAACCTTTTTGTGAAATCTGTAATTGTTCTCTCTCCCTCCTCCTCTTTTCCAACACTTTCACTCTCCATTTTAGAGATTAGCTTTTGTTTCATTTTGTAGGATCCATCCCTGTTTCAGCCTAATTTTAAAAATGATCTTCACTCTCCAATGATCTCCATGACCCTGTTTTGAAAAAAAAAAAAAAAACAGACTTTTTTCTCTTTCTCTGCAGTATTACATGCCCTATGCCTTGCAAAACTACAAATGCAGAACAGTTTAGCTATGCTTGTGTATCGATATCGATGCGAGAGAATGGAGTTATTACTTCACAGGAATGTTTTGGGATGTCTCGGTCTCTCTTTAAGGCATTTTTTAGTGTATTGGCCTTTTTCTTACATTAAATCTGGAACAAGATACCTTTGCAGTGACTAATACCAAGGTGATGTACAGTAATTTATTGTATCATCAGATGTTGACACTATAGGATACCCACCTGATACATCTTGTGAACTGTCCTCTGCAATATATTCTGGTCCATCCAGACTTACATTTTGCCCTATTGAAAAGCAACTTCAACATTGATCTAATACTGAGCTCTCTTCTACTGTCCTGGTTAGACTATATTTTTGGCTTTTTCCTACCCTTTAAATGAACACAGTGCAATAGCAGCATACTTCTCTTCCACTCTCCATGGATCTCTCTTGTGAATCCGGACTACAGAGGTTTGGTGTTAACATACCATCTATTAAAAACAGGAAAGCATTTGAAAACAGGCTGCTGTGTTTTCCCCCCCGGAGAAAGAATCATTCGTTGCTTGAGGAAACTGAATGAGTGTCTGCTTGTGCTGTATGTTTGTTAATATTAATAACAAGGGGAAGAATTCTGCTTGCTTTAAAGCAGGGTTTCTCAACCTCAGCAACTTTAAGATGTGTGGACTTCAACTCCCAGAATCCCCCAGCCAGCCAT